TATATAATATATTTTTTTGTATATATATATATATATATATTTAATTATTTTTAATTATTTTTATATATATTTAAAAATGTAATTTAAAAAATCATATTATATTTTATCTTATAGATCTGCATTTTTCTGGTTCTGTAATGATGAACGTGGAAAAGTAAAAATGCTAAATCCTGAATTTGGTGTAGGTGATATCGCTAAGGAACTTGGTAAAAAGTGGTCAGATGCAGATCCTGAAACCAAATCTAAATATGAGGCTATGGCAGAAAAGGATAAGGCTCGATATGAAAGAGTATATATAATATATTTGATTTATTTTTTTTATTAATAATATATTTTCAAATTATTCATTTGAAAATATTTATTTTAAAACATTTATTTATAAATATGTTGTATTTAGGAAATGACTGCGTACAAAAAGAAAATGAAAGATGGTGCACCTGTAGTAGGAGTTCCAGCAAATACTGTAAAAAGTGACAGTGAAGAAGAGTATAAAGAAGATGATGAATAGCGGATGCACGACAAAATTTCATCTATCACCCCGTGTCCTTGATCCTGAAAGCATACCTCACCTACTGTACGTACCATTGATCTTAGCGTGAGCGTACTTACACCACTAGGAAAACAAATAACTAATCACCAGTCCCTGATTATTTACAATAATAATTAAATACCCGCGATTATAATAATTATTTTAAAATTGTATGTATGACAGATGTGAGAGAAGATCGTATGAATGATATTTGTATTTTAACATATTGATAGTAACATGTAAAATGGCGTAGGATAGCAGAATGAAAAGATATGGTGCCCACTTTCTATCAGGTGGAAGGCGCAGGGGCTCAATCATTGTTGACATTGTGTCCAAACTATGTTAAAAATTGACTTTATTAGTTATAAGGATACGGCGGCTCCATAGTTGGGCGGTATCATTCGTTCATGGCGAAAACAGTTCGATTTTATCAGTTCAGTTCATTCGCTGCCAGTGTAAGAAGACTTATTGTATATCCTTGTACAGAAGATTTCTTTAAATCAAATATGTCGCAGGTGGGGCATGGGGCTGCTTTGTATGAATGTAATTGATTTAACTATGTGTCGTATAGTTGTAAGTATTAGGATAAGTATATATTTTATGCAACTTCGATTCTACATCTGCGTCAATATGTGATAGTTTCAACAAACAATGTATTCTAAACCATGAGATTGAGCCTTATAGCTTATAAGTAATTGAAATCGAAACAAAATATCTAATTCACAACTTTATGAAATCAAAATTGGGACGATAACCCAGCCATGGAGCAGTGGTATTGTAAAGTACTATTGTAAAAGATATAAAGTGTGAATAACTTCTATTCGCAAGAAAGTGGAGCATAAAAACAATTCAATTTATTTTATATAATTGATGAAAAACTTTGCTTTTATGTTATCTTAGTCATATAATTTCAATTTTTTTATAATCATATGAAATAATGAATTTTTGTTCTTATCGAAATTAATGACAGTCGTTAAAGACAAACTAAAATAGAATTTTGAGTTTTAACAAATTGAAGTAGTCCCTGCCCTTACCATCGTCATTCTCCCTCTCATATTCATTTTCCAATAAAATAAATACGTTAAAAATCCTTTCAGAATCGTGTGATTCCGTTCATCATTTAAGAAAGTAAGAAATAAGGCGTGTCTTGTATTGCCTCGAGTCATCTGGTGTACAGCAGGCTGTATTATAATAAATTATTGTGGTTTCTTGTAATATTAACATTCCTAGATCCTAGTATGTACAGAACTTAATCATTGAGATTAGAGTCAACTGTGTAAAAAGCATACCAAAAAAAAAAAAAAAAAAA